TTTTTTTATAACCATGCCTTCTGGTGGAATCCTTTTTTCCTTCCAGAGTTGTGCGTACGAAATCCTTGCAGCTGTTAATATATGTAACATAATATATCTATCTGTTTTATTGCATTTTTGTGTTATTATACCTAATAAAAAAGTTTCCAGATTAAATTCAATTTTCTGATTTATGATTTCTTCTATCCATTGTCTAATTGTATTCCAATATTTTTCACTTCCTGGCATGTCCACCAGGTATGAAAATAAGTGCCCTTTTCTTTTCCACATTTCCAACAATTTGGGTCTGAGTTAAACATTTTTGCCAATCTAGCGGGAGAAAGGTGCCATCTGTAGAATATTTTGTATTGATTTTCCTTGTATGCTGTGGATGTAATTAGTTTGTAATTTGATCCCCACATTCTCTCCCAATTTTCCAGGTCTATATTAGGGCCAACATTTTTTGCCAATACCACCATCGTCTTTTTGACCAATTTGCAGTGTTCAAGCCACTATCCAGTTTTAAAAAATCATTGAAAGGTTGCCTTCCCATCTTGCTTGCTTCTCAATAACACCCAGCATTTCATTAGCTCTTGCAAAAGTTCATTAGCATCAGCCTAACTAAAAACCCATAGCAAGATCATTCTGGATTGATTAGATTCATGTCAACTTTACTCCACTAATGAGAGCTCAGACCCAAAGGAAACCAGCTGGTTGAATACTGATCTCCAGAGGGAATCTGATATGAAATGAACTGGCATTTCCTCATTCTGAAGTGACATTGACATGGATCTTAAGGTATGATAAAAAGACACACCAGAAATGTCTCAAATATCTTTTATAATTCATGTGAGATGGGTTTCACCCCAAAGGAGGTGAAACATCAAGAGGAGACAAAGCTGTTCAATTCCAATGTTGATGGAGAAAAATGGTGTTACTGATCAATGTGAGAAGCACAGTTTGACCAAGAAATTATAACAATAAGAAAATATATTGCAGGAAGGGGATCTACATAGGCAAAATACCCAAACAATTCAATAATGTTTCTGAATGTTTAATTATGTAGTATATCCTTAAGGTGAATAAATTGATCCAATTGGAGTCAGTCATCGGGACCAGAGGTTTTGCCTTCTGAGCTTTCAAATTCATGCTGAAGCCCATCTTCAGGGAACTTCTCTCTAGAGCAGGGGTCTTCAAACTTGACAGCTTTAAGATTTGTGGACTTCAACTCCCAGAATTCCTCCTCCAGTCATGTTAGCTCAGGAATTCTGGGAGTTGAAGTCCACAAGTCTTAAACTTGCCAAGTTTGAAGACCCTTGCTCTAGAGCCTCAGAGAAGTTCCCTGAAAATGGGCTCCAGAATTAAATATTGAAAAAGTGAGGGCTAGCTGACTGGGAAAGGGAGGCTCTAGAACAGGCTTGTCCAACCCGCGGCCCACAGGCCGCATGCGGCCCAGGTCGCCTCGTAATGCGGCCCAACACCCACCCCAACCTTCATGAAAGATCCAGCGAGGAGGAGGAGGAGAGGCAGGCATGAGGCGGGGTGAGGCGAGCAACAGAAAAGGCGGGCAGCCGCAGCCCAAAAGTCCCGCCCCGCCACCTCCTGCTGTTGCCGCCGCCACCACTGCTGCTGCTTCTGCCCCTGCCGCCCCCGCTGCTGCTTCTGCCCCCGCCACCACTGCCGCCACTGCTGCTTCTGCCCCCGCCGCCCCCGCCAACGCTGCTGCTTCTGCCCCTGCCACCGCCACCGCCGCTGCTGCTTCTGCCCCCACCGCCCCCGCTGCCGCTGCTGCTTCTGTCCCCACCACCGCCGCTGCTACTTCTGCCCCCATTGCCCCCGCCGCCACTGCTGCTTCTGCCCCCGCCGCCGCCACCACTGCTGCTGCTTCTGCCCCCGCCACCCCCGCCGCCGCCACTGCTTCTGCCCCCGCCACCGCCACTGCCCCCTCCGCCGCCGCTGCTGCTTCTGCCCCCGCCACCGCTGCCACTGCTGCTGCATTTGCAGGAGGAGAGGTAGGCACGAGGCGGGCGAGCTTTCTTCCCCCCCCTCCCCCCCACAAAATTTGGCCGGAAAATTATAAAATAAAAAATAAATAATTTTTAATAAATAATTAATAATAAATAATAAATAATAATTTAATTTAATTTAATTTAATTTAATTTAATTTAATTTAATTTA